TGTCAAATAAATAAATAAAATCTTAAAAAAAAAAAGATTTTATTTATTTATTTATTTGACAGAGCGAGTGAGAGAGCACAAGCAGGAAGAGCAGCATAGGGAGAGGGAGAAGCAGGCTCCCGTCTGAGGAGGGAATCTGACACAGGGCTTGATCTCAGGACTTAGGGATCATGACCCGAGCCGAAGGCAGATGCTTAACTGAGTGAGCCATCCAGGCATCCTGATTTAAATATCTTTTTTTTTTTTTTAAGATTTTATTTATTTATTTGACAGAGAGAGAGAGAGTACAAGCTGGGGGAGTGGCAGGCAGAGGGAGAAGCAGGCTTCCTGGGAGCCCGATGAGGGATTCCATCCCAGGACCCTGGGATCATGACCTGAGTGGACGGCAGACGCTTAACTGACTGAGCCACCCAGTCTTCTCTATTTATCTCCTTTAAAAACTATGCAGGGGCGCCTGGGTGGCTCAGTCATTAAGCATCTGCCTTCGGCTCAGGTCATGATCCCAGAGTCCTGGGATGGAGCCCCACGTCGGGCTCCCTGCTCCGCGGGAAACCTGCTTCTCCCTCTCCCACTCCTACTGCTTGTGTGCCCTCTCTCGTTGTGTCTCTCTCTGTCAATAAATAAATAAATAAATAAAGTGTGTACACTGGGGGTGCCTGGGTGGCTCAGTCAGTTAAGCATCCCACTCTGGATCTCAGCTAAGGTCTTGATCTCAGGGTCATGAATTCAAGCCCCACACTGGGCTCCCCGCTGGGCATGGAGCCTACTAAAAATTAAATGAACAAAAATTTTTTAAAATAAACAAATGTTTAAAAAAAGTATGTACACTGAACTCTGTATGTGTGCAGTTGTATTCCCACCTTTTTTTTTTTGAAGTATTTTTAGGTATTTTTAGAGAAGTTGTAAAGAAAACACACCATGGTGTTTTGGTTTTCTAAGTGATGGGGATTTCTATATTTTCCAACTTTTCTACATTGGTTATTTATTTCTTGTGGAGGTTGAACTAGTAGTTTTTTGAGGGGTTGAGTTAGTAGAATTGATGCTGGATAAACTAACATAGAAATTGCTTTTTTGAAAAAAAGTATAGAAAATAGACAGTAAAAATGAAAGAATAAAGACAGGAAGTTCACGGTTAATAACTTAGCACTTAGCATCTGATTGGGAACTGATCCTCTTTGAGTGACTGAAATGAGTAAAAATAATACTTTTCACTGATGTTTGAAATTTAGGAGCGACTTAGAAAAACATTAGCACAAGTTTTAAAAAAAACCCTGGTTTGTGTTTTCTTATCCGTTCAAGGAGAAACTTTAAAGTTACTCAATATCCCTGTCTTTTACTTTCAAGAATATAAATATTTTCTTTAGATTCCAGAATATAAAAACTTACTTTCTTTTTGCTTTTCCTAAGCCACTGCTTCCTGCCTCTTCAGGAATCCGATTCTCTTTTTCAGAATCTTTAGGAGACAGCCTGAAGAATTCTCCGATTCCTTTTTGCCACTTGGGAGTTGGGCGCACACAAACTGGATTCCCTCCTGCATACTTATTTTCAACTATAAAATAAAAACAGATGGAACTAAATAAGAACCAAGGAGGGCACCTGGGTGGCTCAGTCGTTAAGCATCTGCCTCGGCTCAGGTCATGATCCCAGGGTCCTGGGATCGAGTCCCACATCAGGCTCCCTCCTCGGCAGGGAGTCTGCTTCTCCCTCTCCCACTCCCCCTGCTTGTGTTCCTGCTCTCGCTATCTCTCTCTCTGTCAAATAAATAAATAAAATCTAAAAAAAAAAAAATAAATA